TACAAAGTAAACAAATGAGGATTTTTCCAGCAAAAGATTTACAAACACAAGACGAGATGGACTGTACGGAATCATTCAATCCATAGCGGTCAGGAGTATTGATTTTTCTATTGTTTTGCTCACGAAGAGTATTCAACAAGAACCCCAAGGATTTGGAACAATCCTCTTGTTGTCCTAACGAGTATCTAGTAGACTTCAAAGACTCCAGGAAATCGGTTGGAGGGACAGATGATACATTCTTACGAAGCTGCAGCTGCATGAACAGATATTTGAGTATGATGAATGAGTAGTTCTTCATCATGAACAACGCTTGTAAAATGTTATTCACGTAGCAAGTGTTTCCTAAATTATCCAATCCAATTTTCTTCTCCAGATTTTCGGGACAACTCTCTACTGATTCGTAAGAAAGAACATGTTTCACAGAATCTCCATAAGAACCATTCCTCAAGCTGCGATCGATCCTTCCAAGTAAAGAAGGGTTTCGTAGAGGGATCGTTTCGGCTCTTGCTTCATGAAGCTCTTCCTCTGAAAGGGAACCATAACTACGAGGACTGCAACTAATCTGAAATGGAATTTTTAACAGGTGATGATCGACTGTATTGCCAAACATGTGCCAAACTAACTGACTGTTATAGGGAAACAAGTATATCTGAGGCACCAGTCAATCTAATAATAACACTAATGATCTTCAAACAAGACTCAACCTCTGACGGAAGCAAAAAACTCTTTCGAAGGTTCGAAATAGATGAACAATTCAATCTAGCAGACCACTATTATAATATTCATGCATTCATTGTTCACTGTGGTTCTGGCGTTGAATTTGGTCATTATTACGCCTTGGTCAAAGACGAAAGGGACCGGTTTAAGTTTGACAATAATCGTGTTACGAAGTGTTCTGGCGATGTATTGAATCTATCGGAGCCTCTGGAGACACCCAACATTTTGTTTTATAAGAGAGAGGACATTGGCAGATCAAGATATTCAGTGGATATGATGCTACAGGTTTTTCCGGGTTTTACTGCAGCTGAAAAAGCAAATGCGCCACTGGAATCAATGTAGTCGCCCCGTAGCGCCAATTAACTTTTATTGTTGTTTTTATTTTCATCGTTTTATAATTTCACAAATAAAATTCATGATATTTTCAAATATCTACAGAGTACAACACCCTGTTATTTTGGAACCCATGAACCGATTCTGAAATAATATGTTAGTTATATGATGACAAATTTCCAAGTCCCTGAGTTTTTGACTGACCTTGTATGAAAGTCTATGAATTTTACAAAAGTAACCATTCAATGAAATAATACATCGCATACTCAGCTACAAAGTTACATAAGTTGATTAAAATCAACAAATCAAAAGTTAAAAACGTGTTTTTAATTTTAGAAAAATTACCAACAGTAAAAATAAGTCAATTATAAATGGAACAGTTTTTTCAGATATTGGAGTTCATAATATATCCCCCTTCAAGCTCTACATTTTTTATAACGTCGTCTCAAATTCTGGCCAGTCTCGCTCAATTGGCCTGGTGTTATTTCACCACACTTTTGCCTCATTCTCTCTTTCAAAATTTGTTCAAATATCGTGGAATATTTCTATAAACACTTCCTATCAAATATCCCCACAGAAAAAATATAACGGAGTCAGGTCTGGTGATCGAAGGGGCCAGCTCATTTCAATATCTTCCCCATTCCAGAAACGAAATTTTCATGAAAATAACTGCATATTCAATCAAGTTATGAAAAGTTATTTTCGTAATCCAATACTGTTATTTTGATTTACGGGTATTCAGATGACAATTGAAAAGTTAATGTTAACAGCCTCCGTCCGTTAAGAAATTACTTGTTCAGATATTTCTTCAGAAACTCTGTTCTGATTACAATGACAATAATCATAATAATACTAACTACTTATGAATTCGAAAAGTAATTTGACAATTGCTGATATTTGAAATTTCTATTCCATCGATGAAAGATTTACCATTTATAGCACCAGTATTCGAACTTTTTGTTGAGGAAATCCAACCTCCAAGTTTTTTTAACGCAGCCGAGGATCTGCGAAACGAGTGCCCTGTGTAGAGCAGAGGGTTTACCAGTTTTAAGAATGCTGCAATTTTCTTCGGAACAGCTCTAATAATATGAATGCCCACAACTTGTTTTACACATTTACCATTCCTATAACCAATGAAGAATCGCCCATTTTCCAAATTTGAAGGCCGCAAAAGAAGTCTTTCTTTGGGAATGACGAACACCCTGTTCTTTTTGTCTTAAGTATACCTCAATGTAACCAAAACTCTGGTACTGGTGCTTTCAAAATCATCCAGATTCAGCTCTACAAGTTCGTCACGTCTACAGGCGTCTGGAATACCACACATAATTATGGCATTAGATAATTGTCATATAACTGGCTTTACAGTTATCTTACAGGCAGGAAGCAGTTAGTAAAACTCCAAGGAAATACATCAGGTGTACCACAAGGTTTGGTTCTGGGTCCTATCCTTTTACTGCTTTATCTGAATGATCTGGTTACCATTGACATTAAAGGAAAGTTCCCACTTTTTACGGATGACACCACGATCCTTTGGCGTGGAACAAATGAAAATAATCTCAGAGACTTCATAACTCTGGATCTCTGTAGGGTTAAACAGTGGTGCGATTCAAACTCCTTATGTTTCAACACGAATAAAACGAACATAGTTTGCTTTGAACTCAATTTTGACGACATACTTATAGAAAATCGCGCTATAGTTAACAAAACTCACACAAAATTTCAAGGGGTATTTATAGATGAATAATTAAAATTTGATGAGCATATAACAAATTCATGCATAGCAATAGCATCTGGTTGCTATGCAGGTCGAATTGTTTCTAACGAACTCAATCAGTCCTCAGCCGGAACTGTGTAGGTATTTTTCCTTGATAGAGTCCCACTCGAGATATGGAATTGCCTTTTGGCGCTTTTGTTGTCAGCAACTACTAAATTTAGTATTCGTCCTACAAAAAAGGGCTGTCAGATACCTATGTAGAGCTCAATCACAAGACCACTGCAATTCACTTTTCATCAGTCAGAAAATTATTACTGTACCTTGTTTATTCCTTTTAGAAATCGTTTGCCTAATTCACAAAATACAGGCTGATTCACGGTGGATGGCACATTAGACGTTTCTGGTGAACCAGACAACGGATCACTTTGAAAATTTAATGGAGGGCATATTCGGACATTCTCTAGCCAACTAAAATATTTTCGACAATGCGGTGTTGCCGCTTCTATTAGAAAGCAGTAGCAACTTTGATTTTTCAAATGAAACACTTTGTATATAATATTATTTTTGGAATCTCCAACAATTGCCCGACAACTTTTCTTGAAATTTCTCTATACCTATCTGTTGCCGTTTTCGAAATAAAAATTAATTTCAATTTTTTTCTTCGAAAATCATGACTTCTAAAAATGCCGATATCTTTTAGTTAAGAAGTACTATGATATCGAAATTTGGTTTGGAGTTAGGTGATACTTGGACACTTCCCACACGTCAGCCTAATCTCCGTTACTTCGATACAGGGTGGTAAAAAAATACAGTTTTTTCGTTTGCTTGAAAAAGTTGCTGAAATGTGATTATTTTAAATGGAACACCCTATTTATTATTGAAAATTCGGAAAGCTGCTGAAATTTGCTTTCTTTCTATGTATATCATACCTATACCTAACTAGTCAAGTTTCGGACTTATGAACATTTATTTGTGAAAATATCCCTTCAGAATGGTATTTCCATTCGGTATTTGGTAAGCAGGCCATAATTACTATTTGACAGTAGGTTGTGACATTCTCCTAATAATATCGACATTTTCGTCACTTCAGAAGTTGCAAATACCTTCAAAACGATGGAACAAAACTATTCAAACGAAGTTCTTATGAATTTGTTTATTATTTTTGGACAGTGTGACAAAATTATCAGCAGAACATGTAGAAAGTTCAATGAAATGTATCCGAATCTACCGCCAATGAACCTCAAGAAATTTATACGAATTCAGAACATTTCAGGCATTTTTAGAAGTCATGATTTTCGAAGAAAAAAATTGAAATTAATTTTTATTTCGAAAACGGTAACAGATAGGTATAGGGAAATATCAAGAAAAGTTGTCGGGCAATTGTTGGAGATTCCAAAAATAATATTATATACAGAGTGTTCCATTTGAAAAATCAAAGTTGCTACTGCTTTCTAATAGAAGCGGCAACACCGCATTGTCGAAAATATTTTAGTTGGCTAGAGAATGTCCGAATACGCCCTCCATTAAATTTTCAAAGTGATCCGTTGTCTGGTTCACCAGAAACGTCTAATGTGCCATCCACCGTGAATCAGCCTGTATACTCCAACTCAGCAGCAAATAATGACAGACCTTACCACACGTGAGGAAGTCGGAATTTATCCTTGCCAATACAACTTTTTCAAGCAACGATGTATGATCATCTGTCTCTATCAAAAAATAAGTTACTTCTCCTCCAAGACAAAATTTTTGCTTTCTTTGGTGTGTATCTTTCAGATTTTCGTCAAAAGAACAAAAATAATTTTCCAAATCTGAAAATACATAAATAACCACATCCATTATTTGACACATATCCACATTGTAACACCAATAACTATAATAATAATAATATATTGATTTTAAATATCCTGACTGCAACGAGAGTAAAATAACACATAGTTCATAAATGATGCTGAAACTGTTAATGAGCTTCAGAATGCCGTCATAATAATAGATTAAACATAGTAATAGAACTCCAACTAGTGAAAATTCATCACAAAAAATGTTGAGGGCGAAGCAAATACGAATGCAAATAGGATTTCTTTCTAGGAATGTCCAGGTATGCGTGTATAGCATGTGTGAGGAGAGAAAGTATCAGAAGTGATTTTAGTCACGCCATTGGGATGGGCAAAGGGTTGGGAGGTCTATCTATATTTATATGCTGAATAATATGTTAAATGTGTTCTTGTCACGATTACAGATTGGTGACACGCCAAATCCCGAGCTGAGGATCATCACGAGTGTTTTCAACAAGGTCCAGTACAAAGGTAACATTCATTTATGTATGTAAATTTATGTTTGAAATAGTGCAAGTGAATAATTATGACCAATGGCTTCAGAAGAGCTAGATCGGTTTAAACAGCTATTGCTAGTAAATTTGAGTTCGTTCACAATAACATTGATAAGGGAAAGTAATAAGTCTCAATCTTATTTCTCTAGCTACAGGCTCTCTAGCGAAAGCCTTTGATTCAGTAAGAAATGAAATTATGATCAGTAAATTGTACAACATTGGTATCAGAGAATTCGTACTCAAATGGATTGAGTCATTTTTATCTGACAAAAAAATAGTTGTGTCTCTAAATAACACTACATCTAATATTCGAAACATTATGCATGGTGTACCACAAGGTTCAATATTAGGAGCGCTGCTGTTTTCAATCTATATAAATGATCTCCCAAAATATATCAAACATGGTTACAATGAAATGTTTGCAGATGACACTACCATAACAGTGTCTGGCAACACAATAGATGAGTTAGAATTCAATATAAACTCAGTCATGGACGCTATGGTTTCTTGGTGTGACAGAAACCAACTGAAACAGAATGCAAATAGATGTACTTAGATATAAAATTGTAAAAAATTGAATCAGGCAATATTTGCAATACGCCAGCTCAAAGAGTTGCTAGACTTAGATGGTATCAAGATGGTCAATTATTCTTTGGCCTATTCTCGCATGGCTCAAAATATACTAATGTGGGGTACTTCTGCTGGCGCAAGACGTGTATTTATTCTACAAAAAAGAATCATGAAAATCATATTTGACATTACACCGAGGTATAGCTGTAGAGCTTTATTTTCAAAATATAAAATATTAACTATACCCTGTATCTATAAGTATGAAGCTCTGCTTCATGTGAAATACAACATAGTTCATTTCAATCACGGGTCAGTCACTCACAATTATGCAACACGAACTAAACACTTGACCATCCCAAAACACAAAACGTAGGCATTCAAGAAATCTCTTAGGTATAACGACATCATACTTTTTAATTCATTACCACAGGATGTCAAGGACCTACACTTAGTAAGTTTCAAGAACCATATCAAAGAATTATTGACGAACGGGGGTTATTATAGCTTAGATGAGTTCCTGCAAAGGGATGTCTTGATATAACTTGTTCTCACTGCTTTTCCTTCCTATTTTTATGGAAAACCTTTTGATTGTATATAATTATATTACGTTGTTTTATAATAATTTGTCTATGATTTTGAAATTTGCATGAATATGTCGCTTGTACTGTTTTGTATAGTGCCTGTTTCATTTCATAGGTATATATTCATTAATTCTTAATTTTATTATTGACATGTCTAATATCATAATGAACGGAAATATGAATAAATACAACAACAACAACAAGCAATATTTATTCTTCATCAAGGAAATCTGGACAAAACCTTGGTAGTTTTATTATAACTTCAATATAACTTTTGGAGTACCCAGATTGCAAAATGATACTATTATGACATTTGTTTCAATATTTCTACACTTTTCATTGTCCTCATCAGGGAAACTATAAAAATAAAAATGTGCTATTTACGTAGTGCTTGAGTTTTGATTAAACTACTCATATTGTTCATGAAGTTGTTTGCAAATGGTGGAAAAATTATCACCTGTATGTACAAAAAAATTTGACTCACCTATACAATCTTGGAGTATCTAGAAAATGATCAGTCAATTACAGTCAATACTAAAATGAAAGTTCTTTATCTGTATATGTAGAGTAGGGAGGGCGAGTGTAAGCCCAAAGCACTCAGACCACATGTGAACCATTGTCTCTGGGAGACATCTCCCTCACATCGGCAGGTATAGGCCAAGACTCACCAATACACTCTTTGACGATAACTTCGAACACTCGCATAGGACATGTCGGACAGTTTCATAGACTCATTGCGTAGATGTGTGTCCACTAGCACCATTTTGTGGAGGTGTTTCCTTAGTTGACAGTGGCCAGTCAGAAATCTCACTGTTGAGCGTAGATTTTTCCTGGTCATCACCAGATATTTCTTCGGCGCCAGCTTCCCAGGGTCGTTCAGGGTGATCCTGCAAGACTGCATCATTCGATTTCATCCCATATCTTTAGAGATTGAGCGTGTGTGTGATGTTTGGCCAGTTCCGCAATTGTCGAAGTAATCAGGCCGTAGGTGCCACTGGGTCTTGACATTTTTAGTCCAGCCGCTTCCTTAGCTGAAGGGTCGGCAATGCGATTACCTTTACTCCTGTCGTGCCCTTTAACCCACCCCAGGATAATGTTATTATTATCTATCAAGGCTTTGGCTAAATCTTGGTGGCACTCTAATCCTAGCCTTGAGGCTAGGACTAGATGTAACGATGTAACGGAATGAAGAGAATATCCGAAGTCGAAATGTACGGATTATAATTCTGTTACCTTTCAAAGTCAAATTATCAATGATGCCAATACATTCAGTTGATGCAAATCAGTATCATAGTACACTAAGTTGAATATGAAATGTAATTCTTGAATTAAAATAATGTTTATACTAAGTAACTAACGTAGTATGGCTCTGAAAATAATTTCCCTGATCCACAGTGAAATATAATCATACCTTTTGCATGTGTCTGCAAGGGTCTCAATTTGCCTAGTCCCAAGCGTCTTCTGTCGGTTCACTGACCAGGCGTCTTCATTTCATTCAGGTTGGAGCCCAGCTCTCTTACCCTTTCAGCTGATTTTTGTCGGAGAAGGACAAATGGGTTCATGACTGAGGAGATTGGCCGCGGTGGTAGTGCGCCCGACTCACGATCGGAAGATCGTAGGTTCGATTCCCGCCTCGACCAGATATTTTCCTCGAAAGAATTTATCTGGTTGAAGCGGGGATGATTCTGCAACCGTGTTAGGAATCACACGTTGAAAGGTAGGACCTCCTTAGTCCCTAGCTCGCACAAGTTTCTCAACTTCTGAAAGTTGTCGTTCACATGGGGGCGACAGCTGAATAACGAAAAAACAGATTTAAGATTTATAGATTTTAGATATTGGCAGTATGAAGTCCTCAGACATCAGTACCGCCCTTCACGGGGTACCCCTACCTGGCTGGGGTGGGATGGATAAAAAATCTATTCGTCCGTTAACGAGGGACATGAGGGCCTCATTCGACAGAGTGTCAGGACCTTCTATATCGGGAGGGGTCATCTACAGCATAATCTATAACTTCCCTAACTGACGGACTTTCGTGAGTTTCTGCGCTATTAAAAACTCGCCGATTCCTCGACTGAATGGACTGCTGAATGGAAGGCAGCTGCAAATCTTTGCGGATGGCTTCATTCTGTACGAACCACGGAGCATTCACATTCATCTGTATCAACTTATTTGCAGGGAATGTTCTTTGAGGAAGCTAAAAAGCCATACATAAAAAATGATCCGACAAACCATAGCATCGAAGTTTGCCACACACGATCAAAGGCTTTAGAAATATCAAGCGCAATAGCTCTTGACCCTTCACGTTTCTGGATTGCGTTATTCCAGACATGGGTGACATGAGATAGAAGGTCGTTTGTGTCCTTAGGTGTTCGTAAAAAGGTCGAAATTTGATTTGTTGGCTGTGAATGGTGTTTTAAAATCGTGCCTCTTCGGAATCCGACTCACTTTGTCTGTATCTCCATGAATATAAAAAGTGGTGGTCCTTCTGTTCATCAAGCTGTTTGGGATGTGGATACAAGTTTGCTGAAGTTTGATGGATCTTTAGATTCGCGATTCGGGATAGTGGTTGGGGCAGAGGGCGGATTTCAGTTTGTCTAGTTCCTTGGATCTATTTTGACTGTCAATGAGTCTAATATATATGTGTAAGAGAACGTAGTTCTCTCTGTGATGAGAACGTCCAGAAATGGAAGTGAGTTGTAAATTCCGACTTCTATCGTGATTTTCAGGTCGGAATGTGAGGGGCTGATGTGGTTTAAAAATATATACCCACTTCCAAATCCATGAGGCCATAACTATTGTTGTTTCATGAATGCTCATCCATTCCAGAACACGCAACTGGCTTAAAATTCTGAATGAATGTATAGTGCATCCCCATATTGTTTCCAACCATGGAAAACGTAACAGTTCGTCGCGCGACCTCTGTACGACGACATTCTGATTTATTGCTAATTACCTCGAGGTCAATCATTCCAGTCACGAATATCTGAGAACCTCAACTGTATTATTTATGACACGACATTTAGATGAGCTAGCGTGCTGAAACGCGTCGGTGGCACTTTTACCATAATGAAACATATCTGTGGCTAACAAGTCGAGCGGTGCGTGACACTACGCCAAGAAGACGGTGTCGTCTATTAAAAGTCCATTAGTTATTCCGGTTCGGCTGAGAAGTCGACTCGTTACAAAAACAAACGTCAACTGAAGCAGTCACCAGCTTTGGTGATCGTGTTTAAATCAATTAATTCAGCGAAAGTATTCAAGACATTGGAACGTCTCCTTCATTTTTCTGTTTGACAGATTCATGAGTTACTATCTGTCCCCGCAAATGAATAGTTTTTTCTTGGTTACGATATCGGCAACACACGTCATATAAAACAAACATAACTTCCCCCCACCAGAAAACATCAAACTCTCAAAGCAAGTCAATAAAGGAAACCGTATGAACATCTGGAAAAACCTAAACATCCATAAATTCAAAAGTCATAATTCACTTATCGAGGAACAAATACAAATCAATACACAATAAGACATAACATGAACCATAAACCTAGAGAAACACCAACACAAAGGATATTACCTGATGTAACCCAAGTGCAGGTAAATTCATATAGACATCCGGATGAAAGGAGAGGACAAATACCTGCGCTAAGGATTACAGTGTATGTGAGTTTAGGCGGCAGGATGATTGATATGTGGACGCAACATATATAGGTGTAGAGATCAAAAAATAACCTCAGGAACTTGGAGACAAACACAACAAAACAAAAATAAGAAAACCACCTGTTGTTTTTTGGAGACAACCATGTGGAAATATCAAACTATGAAA